ATAAAAAGGAAATAAAAAGTGGGGGTCACCGTGCTCGTTTTGACGTCACAATGCTGACAAATACGGCTATTTTGGATCCAGCCCAAAACTAGACTAAAAGGAAAGATTTTTTCAATGATGCGTGTGGTATCGCACAGAATTTGACCTTAATGTATTGTTTATCCACGTACGTACCAGAAAAATTCCTTTTAATGCCTTTGTTTTTACTTTACGCTCCAAAGTAGAATTAAATTGGACACGCGCTATTCGACACGTGATAGCTCAATCCTTACAATTTAGTAAAATTACCAAAAACTGAACATAGATTTGTGCCAATTTTTTTCTCACCGAAAGGAAGCACTGTCCTTATTAAAATCATGAAATAAAAAATGGGGGTCACCGTACTCGTTTTTGCGGTAGAGCTGCAGAAAGTGCGCACCAAATGCATTTTCCTTGATTTTTGAGAGAGGATTGGGGCGAGTTTCAAAATAGAATGTATGCAAAAGGGGGAAGAAAGTATTAAAAAATCCTTTTTTACAGAATTTACATCGAGATATCACATTTAGGACACAATGTGATAAAGAAAGCGTTTAAATGAAAATCAAAGTGAATAAGCAAAAATTAAACATCCACTATCGAGGTTCTCCGTGAGGAAATCGAACTCAGCAACATGCGTACTGCTTACGTTACGCAAATTCCCACACATTGGGTCTCACCTCGGCAAGAAACAACCGCAAGCAAAAATTGCAATAGCTTTTCTCTTCGGTCAACTTCATTTTAATAATGTTACTTCACATGCTCTTTTTTACGGAGGCCATCTTGTTATGCGCAGTAAGAGATGCAGTGCAAAACCAGGGAATCACCTAAGTGGACGTTAAGACTCTTTTACCTTTGTTCCTGCTTAGTTTGGCTCTAAGCCTTCTCCAACAAATTCTTGAATTCTTCTGTCGTAAGACCTCCCATAATGGTACTACATAGATGAATTAAGACAACATGTACCACGAAAAAAGATGAAAACGTAGCTTGGATAAGCTAAATTCACAGTAAATTTAACGAAGCTCATAAATTATCGCCATCTTTCTCGCTGACCGCTGACCGCCCGACCCAGTCAGTAGTTAGTGTGCTGTTCCTAAACAGCTAAAGTTTCTCTCTTACACACTTAAACACACACTCATTACTAACTTTGCAGCCGCGGTAACTCCTTCTTAAAACCTACGCCTTCAAAATCCTACGCAAACGCAAGTCGAGCAAATAAGAGCTATTGTAAAGAGTCTAGTAATTATCAGTTAGAACGGCTTACAATCAATATGACTTTTAAGGCATGTACTAAATGGATTCTGATTAGAATTGAATATTTTACAGAATTAGTTGCTAGAACTAATCTAGAACACAGAAGGTCGTGGGTTCCAATCCCATCTGGGGCTCAGATTTTTTCTGTGTCCTCTTATGGTTGATTCCCTACATCTCCCTTTATTTCCTTTAGTTATGTAATGGATTACAAAATTGCCAGCTTCAACAATAAAAGTTAGGAAATCGCGTCCTACGCAATAAAAAACTTAAACAAAAGAAATCCGCATAAAAGAAATAACCATTGATAATTTAAAAGCATTCTGTGACAGTATGTTAGTCCAGCTTGGAACCCTCGTGGCACCAACGGAGTTGCGACCGTTAAATCAGTTCAAAGGCGGGCAGCCAGATTTGTGTGTAACGACTAGAGATCCACAAGTGTGTCTTCCTTAATTAAAAAACTTAACTGGTCATCAGATCCAGTACCAGGAAATTCCATAGTATGACAGTGAACCTTTTACCCGCTTTTGTTGATGCCTAAAAGTACTCTTTTTTTATGCCGATGTATCCCTGCATGACCTGTGTGGAACAGTCTTCCATCTACTGCTGTTGCGGCTTCGTCTTTTCTCTTGTTTAAGTCCACAGCCAAAACCTATCTGGTATCACCTACTGCCTAGCTCGCTGACTACCCATTGCCACGATTAGTTATGCTATTTGGCAATTAACTGATTAAAGATTAAGGATGCATCGGACGCCACTCGACCACAAAATTTTGCGTGACATCTCCTTTGGCTCTCGACATCTGAGAGTAAAAATGCCGCTCAAACTCTCGGCTATAGCCAAACCTGTCAATTCCAATTATTTTTTAGGAGATTTACCTCCATATTTCGAACAAAAACGCCGGACTTTTAAGTAAGGAATACTCTCTGTAAGCAGTTAGGTTCCTTCAAATGAAAATGATTCCTGTGTTGCTTTAAAATGTTCATCGCTTTCGTCATAATTTTGTCTAATTCTTCGCCGCAGTAACAAACACACATGAAGTCTCGTCTTCTTTCCTGACCTACACTTGCTATCTCAAAAACTCTTACAGCAAAGAAACACAATTTGCAATATCACCTGTCACTTTTATTTGACAAACGACATGATCTGCCATAACGCCCTACCATAACCCGGCCTCGAATCCAGTTTCCAAGAAGCGACATACGCAAATACCACTGTTCGCCGGCTAGGCATTGCTTTGCATGCCCAACTTTTGCAACTTTGAAGCCAACCTGGTGATTGCCAAAACTTTACTTGGCGCTTCGCCCAAGTAACAATGCTAAGTGAGGAAAATTTAACCTGTCGTCGACTGGTATGCTTATTTTAATCCAGGATGTAAATATTTAGTATATACCTTGAATTAAATCATTTCTATTTTCGCTCTTTTCATTTCAGAGAAACTGATAGAACTTATCAGAAGAGACCCTTTCCATGGTGTGAAAATAAACTACAGATCATGTTATCAAACATCTTTACAAGACTGAAAATAGTTAGTAGAGCAAAAGAACGTTCAAAACTAACGGATGACACCGTCAATATGATAGATGTGTTCAATGCACACCAAGAGTGTCACAGTCCAGGAGTGGTGCTGATCGAAGGGAATCCTGGGATGGGAAAAGCTACGTATTGTTAAAAGCTGGCTTATGATTGGTCCGTGGGGAAGATTCCACCTGACACTTCGTTTCCTGAAGTGAAGATATTGCTCCTATTGAAGTGCCGTGACATGCACATGAAAACCGCTGACATCGAGGAAGCTATTGATGATCAGCTTCTACCACAAGATGCAGAAAAGAACGAAAAGGAAGACTTTTTCCACTTTATTCGATCTAATCAGTCCAGAATCTTGCTGGTTCTTGATGGTTTGGATGAACTGCCTGAAGATCTGGCGAAGGGTTTTCCCGGATTTTCTACCTTTGTTTCGAGGCAAAGTCTTTGCTAATGTGTACCTCATGTTAACAGCTCGACATCAAGCTGGAATGAAAGTACGGGGTTATTGTGACACGCTTCTTGAACTTGTTGGTTACACAGAAGAAGATGTTGAATGTTACATTAAGAGGTATTTCAGCAGTCACGAGGATCAAAGTCTTGCCTACAAAATGATACAATAGTTAAATGATAACAGAAATCTCAAAAAATTAACGGCTTATCCATTTTGTTGTGTCTTCTTTGTGAAGAAACAAGAGGAGAATTTTCTTCCAATAGAACCGCGATGTACGGTGACCTTGTGTCTTGTGCTCTCAGAAGGTATTTTGGAAAAAAGTGGTATTTCTTTGGCTGGCGAAGATCCAGCTGAGCGATGTGCAAGTGAGCTGAATAAGTTAGGGAAGTTGGCATATGAGGCTTTGCTTGACAATCATTTGTTTTTCAGTCAAGACGAGGTGAAGTCCCAGCCTACAGTCGATTTCTTACGAGTGCCGTTTCTTTCCCGTAAGCCAAGTGTGAGCAAAATCAAACCAACGCCGTGCTACGCGTTTACTCACAAAACGTTTCAAGAATACTTCGCGGCGTTTTACTTGGCCCATCAGCTGGTATCTGGTGTGACAAAGAGAAAGTGAGACTGTTAGGTGAACTCAGTCCTGTTGATAATTGGCAGGTGTGGGGATTTCTCATTACAATAGTGTCTCGCAAGAGTGCTGAAGCAGTAGTAACTGTCGTGTCTTGGCTTTGTGCTTTCTTCTACCAAAAAAGACCTCAAAGATCACTTCACGCTG